AGAGAAAGAGAAGGCCAGCACAGCAGGGCAGAGAAGGAAGGCAGGTAGCCACGGGCTCCACACACCCAACTCTGAGCTCTTCAACAACAGAGTAAACATGAACCGCTGTTTGAGACTTCAGGCAGCCACTGTGAGAACCTGGAGAGCGAGTTTGCAATCCATTTCTCTGTTAGAGTTGGATGTCTGATTGACTCCACACTTTTCTATGGTGGGTAGCATTTAAAAAGGCAGGCTTTGGCTATCATTAAGTCTAGGTCAGAGTACAGCAAAAGAACTATTGGAAAACAAACAGAATAGTCATCACCCACAGAAAACTCCTCAAGGAGCATCCACAAAGTCCAAGTGCTTTGAATGCATCCCAAAATTACTATGTACCATGCAAAATTCTTTATTATACTAGATCCTGGGGAGAGGGGTACAGGAGCACAAGGGAATGCTTGCTAAGCATTCTTATCTCAACCATGAAAAGCCCTGTTGGGAAATCTAGCAGCAAACTGTGAGTCTCACAGGCTTAGGTAGAAAGAAACTCAATGGAAGGAAACCTGACTGCCCCTGATCCTCTTCTCTCCTACAGAAACCAAACAGTGACCAGAAAATGCTCATTTCTCTTATATTAATGAGGCAGAAAATCTAAAAAATATCTAGTTTGTCCTCATTATTCTAGAAAGACAGGATGGGGAAGTATCAAGAATCCTAGCTACTTGAGCCTCAGCTTTACTTGGGAAGGGACTCTGCCTGAATCTCATTTTGTAGATTATGACTAATGATTAACTAACTGAAGTTCTACTCTGCAGGCTGACTGCTGGCCACTCTGCACTCAATAAAATGTACCATGACCAAATACTGAAACAGGATTACATGTATTGCTACCTGAAAACAACACTGTTGTTTGAGTATTGTTGAGGATGGAGAAATAAAAAGTTCACAGTTTCCTCATGAACTTAAGACACACTAGGTCAGGCGATGGGAAGGTTTGGCAAAACCATCCCTCTCACCCACGACAGCAGCCAGACAGGAAAGCCAGAAAGGTTACCACAAAAATAAAATAAAAATTTAAAAGGCAAACAGGATTCATTGAGAAGAAAGTTCAGCAGTGAGCTAGTATATTGGCATTTCCTGGATCTATTCCAAGGATGGATGGGAACATTTGGGGATGGGGTACAGTTACATCCAATACTCAGTGATTAATACATATATTATCAAATGAATTTTATGCGCTGAACTCTTCAGAGCATGGGTCACACAGATTTACGAACTCTCCAAACTGTCTATAAATCGTGAGGTCGGCGACAGGGAAAGACCAGACACAGTACAGGTCTCCAGGGTGAATAAGACTACCGCCATTTTGAGACTGTCAAAATGACATTGATGTGCTTTCTGATGTCTCTGATGACATCTTTGTCCAGTCAATCAATCTTTGGGTTTGAAAATCAAAACATATCTTAACACTGGACTCAGATCCTGTTCCTAGTGCTGCAAGGAACATATTTTGCTACCAGAAATAGGTCTTGGGAAAAGACACCCTTGGAAAACATTGCGATTCTTAAATTCCTGAAGTCAATAGCTCTCATCAAGGAACCAAGGAGTCTTGGGGGAGGGAGGGCTCTGTAAAAATAAAATGGGAGAGGCTGATGTCTGGGATCGAGGTTACCTGTGTCTAGAAAGGACCTGTCACTTGAAGTAGTGTATGTTCAAACCTAAGAGTGCTGCCTGCTCCATGCACCAGACTACAGAGAACCCACAGCAATCTGAAACAGTCTAGAACCGGCAAAGATTGCTGCTTACCACCTCTGGCCGCTTTTGGCTTGCTGGTTTTGTGTGTGTGTGTGTGTGTGTGTGTGTGTGTGTGTGTGTGTGTGTCTTTCACGCCTATGCTTGTAAATGTGTAAGATAGGAAAACAAATCAAAATCAGCAAAGCCCTCATTAGATTGTCCCCTTAACCCAAGCCAGGCAGAAAGAATCAATCGATATTTAGTACTTTGGACATATTGGTCCTAAGAAGGTAAACAATAGCAATAAAACAGAGAAGAATCCTATTCGCTTTTATTTTTATCATCACTGTGGTTTGGCTGTGCTTGATCATTTTTCTTTAGGGCTTTCCAAATAGTGAGTCCAATCTGAGAACTAAATTTAATTGCTCTGTGCCTCACCGGAGTACCACTATAATCCAGCAGTCAATTCGAGAAAACGAAGAGGCACATTTTCTTAGCAACCAGTCTTGAAGGGTTTTTTTTTTTTTTATTTCATAGATAGGCTAAGCTTAAAGTATTTTTCCATTTTAGAAGCGGATGTGAATTCTGAAACTAATTATTTTACAGGAAAATTTAACCCGTAAAGGATGGTTATGATGCTAATCTTTCTCTCTGTGCACAGAATCTACACACAAGTCTTTGCTTGGGATTAAAGCAGTTTATTTTCATTCCACTCATCACATGTACGTCATACGGGCACCCGTGAGATGCTTACGATTCAGGAGAAGCTAGAATATAGTGTTTTGCACATGGCTTTGATATTTCTAGAAGTCAATAAGCTAAATTATTGAAAACTGACAGAAAAATTTGATTTTCAGGCAATCGTTTTTCACGTCTATTTGTTGTTAACTTACTAAAGTAGGATTCATTGCGAAATTTATAGCTGTTGTCTTCATCTATTCAAATAAGCTTTATATTTTCATTTTGAAGTTAAATCCTGGCTGGGGCGAGCTGCCTCCTAGGTAACCTCAGAATGCAGACTGGCTTCTTCTACCTGCGGGTGTCTTAACACAGAGGCGCCCCCCACCCGACCCTCCATCCACCGTCAAAGGATGCTAAGGGAGGACACAGCCCAGAGACAAAACTTTCTGGTCCCTAACTCTACTCCTCTCGCCTCTGTACCAGGTCTCTAAAAAGGACTGTGGCTTTTGTTCTACAGACGTTCAGTACCATCCGCAAAGGTCGTAAGCTGTGTCAGAAGACCGGAATTTTGGAACCTCACGCAAAAAGTCCGTTTCGATGCAATTAGGGAGCAGGAGGTGTGCAAACACTAAAGGGGAGTGGGGGGTGGGCAAGGATGGACTCCTCGATGCCTGGCTTATTCTATTCCAGCCTCGGGGTCGCTAAGTGAACCTCCCACGACTGAGGGCGAGGGCAGAGAGGGGGCTGGGGGACTGCTATGAACACCGGTGCCACCTGGGTCCCCCAGCTACAGTCAATACGCCGGTCTCGTCCCAGCTCAGGCTACAATCGGGAAAAAGCCAGTGTGGCCGTGGTTTGGAGCTTCCTGTTTGTAAGCGAGAAGCTCCCTAGAAGACTCTGGGACCCGGGTTCTTCCTCCCACCGCGCTGGTGGCCTGAGGCGGAGGAGGGGGCAGGGCCGGAGGCGCTGGGCGGTCCCCGGGGCTGCGCAGGGCCGCCAGGCGGACAAAGCACCTCCCGCTCCCTCCCCCACGGCCGCGTTCCAAAAGGGAGGGGAGGGAGGGCCGGAGGGGTGGGATGGAGAGGGAGGCCGGGGAGGGAGAAGAGGAGAGGAGGAGGGCGCTGCCGGCGGGACTGGGCTGGAGCGCGCAGAAGAGGGAGGGCAGGGAGGAGGGGCCAAGGAGAGCAGGGAGGAGGGAAGGATTCTTGAAGCCCAAGATAAACAAATTGTTCCTCTTCACGTGCGGGGTGGGGGGTGGGGGGTGGGGGAGAGCGAGCTCCACGGCCTCCCCTCCCCCACGCCGGCTCTTTGTCACCGCCCGCCCGCCCGAGCGCCCGGCGACACTGGCACCACCCCTGGCGCTCGGAGATCCGGAACGTGCGCGAGGCACAGAACGCACACGGAGAGGGCGTCCGGCGCCCGGCCCCACGCAGCCGGTGGAGGCGCGCTGGGGAGAGGGGGCGCGCTCCTAGGAGATGGCCATTACCGGGGCCCCGAACCCGGAGACATAGTGGGGGGAGGGAGGGCAGACACCTTTCCAAGCTTCCTGCCTCCACCTCCTCCTCTCCCAAGGAGGAAAGCTAGAGAACCCGGGAGAGGAGATAAGAGAAAGGATTCCACCCTCCGGGTTAGGGGTGGGATCGGCCCCTTCCTCCCCCCAGCACTTAAGCCATTGGCTGCGCACCCTCCCGCGAACCCACCCACCCGGCCATTTAAGCCTTTCTCCTCCCTGCTCCCCTCCACTCCTCCGGGCTCAATACCCGGTGCCTGAAAGTTGGCGGAGAGCGAGGTGGGGGCAAGTTGGAGAAGAAGATGGGGGACAGTTCCAAGCCTTGCGGCAGTGGCAGGGTCAGGGCACAGCCCTGGCTTCCTCGCTCCCACCCAGCCGCGTCCCTCTCGACCCCTGGCGGCTGCCCCACCTGCCCTGCCTGCCTCAGCCGCAGGTCTCGAGCGGCGAGCGCAGCGCTCGCGCGCCCCGCATCCGCGCGCGTCCCCACGAGCACGCGCGCGCAGCCACCCTCGCTCGCATCTCACCCACTTCAAAGTTCATTCACAAAACTCTCAGACTTTCCCAAGCCCAAAGGAGAGGAAGCTAGGGACTCTTCCTTTCCCTCCTAAGGGTTAAGGGCCTGGTGCCCACTCAGGATGTGCGACGGCATCAATTTCTCCCTGCAGCCGACGGACGTGATGAGAGGGGTGGGCGAAAGGGGGACCGATCTGGGGAGGCGCGGTGGCACGGCGAGAGGTGAAGGCGGGGCGCGGAGGGGAGCAGCGTGGTTTCTACTCCCGGGTTCACTCTCACTCGGATCCGTTTCTAAGACAAGGAGGGGGAAACTTTTCCTGCGCCTCACTCCAACGCTCTCGAAGCTCCCTCCTCCCCTTGCAGTCGTGACTGGCTTCTTTCTCATCCCCTCCTCCCCAAATCTGACAACCCTGACAGATTAACAGGTAGCGGCGTCAACGACAGCGTTTACCCTGAGAAAAGTTGACGTTAACCCTTCGGCTCCATCCCACCTCACTCACCCCCGGTGCAAATCAGACCCTCACACCCCCACGCCAGAAACTCCACGCCCCCGACCCCAACGCGCGCCCCAGTGCGCCCTCACCATGATCAGCGTGTGGTTCCTCTGCTCCGCCGAGGCAGCCTCCGCATCTTGCTGGGCTTTGCTCGGGTGCTGTTGCTTGCCGGTGCCGGCGCCCGATTTCTTGGCCCTCTGCTCCAGGGTCCGCTGGTAGAGGCTCACGGTGTCCCGGCGCTCCAGCTCCAGCTGTTCCACCTGAGCCTGCTGATACCTGTTCTCGCAGTTGACGTGGTGCCGCCGGCAGCCCTCGATACGCTGCCGGAGCCGCTCGACCACCGTGCTGTGCTTGGGGACGGCCGCCGAGCCGCCGCCGGGGCCCCCGGAGCCGCCGCAGCCGCCGGCAGCGGGGTGATTGCCACTCGGAGCAGCCGGAGTGCTATTGGGAGTATTCACGCCGATCCCGGCCCCGCCGAGGTTGCTGCTCAGGCTGCTGTTGATGCAGATACTACTACCATTCGCGGCAGCAGCGGGGGCTGCGAAATCCCCCATCCTGCTCCCGGGGCACACTATTTTGGAAGAACTTTTTTTTTTTAATCCACCCCCCTATCAGCCTCCTCCTTGGGTCCAAGGATTAAAATAGTTTAAGTGGAACGCGGGGGAGACGCAAGCACATGGATGAAAACAGCGATCCCCACGGGGCGAAAAAAAAAAAGGGGGAGAAATTTTGGGGTGGTTTTTGTTGTTGTTTCCTTAAAAGAAAAAACTGTAAAGATCGAGGGAAGGAAAGAGGGGGTGTTATCTGAATACCATCAGACACCTATCAACAAATAGAATCCCAACAAACTGAGCCGGCAGCAGATAGGCTTGCAACTCAAGGGGAGATCCGCTCCTCGCCTGCCTCCTTTTAATAATCCATTATTTTCTAATAAATTCCAGGAGGTTTCCGGTGGTTGGCAAGCATTTTCTCCCTACGTACCGAAAAACACACCCCATGTACACACACAAGCGTGTGCCTCCAGTGCGGACACGCGCGACATACACTCACTCCACGCCGCATCGGAAAACGGCGAGCTTGCTTATTGCATTTTCCTTCCACAAAAAAGTTTTGGTGTTTATGCCGCCCCGTGTTCTCAAAGTACTTTGGCTGCTCAGTTGCATTTCACAGGAGCCTAGACATCGAGTCCTCGGGCTGGGGCAAGTAAACACATGGACAGTCCGAGGCGACTGCAAAAGTAGATCGCTGAAGTCCTTTGCGAAACGCCGCGCGGAGAGCAGCCCCTAACGCTCGGCCAGGCTGCCGCTGCCGCCGCCGCCTCCGCCACCATCACAATGATCAACTGCTCGCCGCCGCCGCCGCCGCCGCCGCCTCCTCCTCCTCCTCGCGCTCCTCCACCTCCTCCTCCTCCTCCATGCCAGCGGAGTGATATCAGGACGCGCGAGCTCAGTAAACACGGCAGCGGCGGCGGCTGGAGGCCGTGAGACGAGCCCGGGGACCCGGCGCAAAACCCGGCCCGGACTCTCCCCGGGCGGGAGCGGGCGCGGCGCGCACCTACCCGGCTCCCGCCTCCCTCGCCACTCCCCCCGACACACACCCTCCGCCCTCCCCGTCCCCCAGCCCAGCTGCTCCCCAGGCTAGGAAGCCCGACCTGCCAGGAGGAGGGAAAGCAAAGATTGGGGGGGAAATCTCAGGAGTGGATCACCTTTTGACCCGTACGCGCGCACGCGCGTGTGAGTGTGTGGTGTGTGTGTGTGTGTGTGTGTGTGTGTGTGTGTGTGTGTGTACGCGCGCGCGCGTGAGAGAGAGAGAAGCGCGCGGTGCGCGCGTGTATGTGTGTGTGCGTGCGCGCGCGCACGAGCGCGCGGGAACGCGCCAGGCTGGCTGCGTTTCCTCCTGCCCAGCGAGAGGTATCCAGCGAGCCCAAGTTGTTGTTATACATTTATGCATTATATTGCAGAACTGTGCATGACCAGGCAGAAACATTGCAGCTTCCCGGCAGCTGTCATTCCCACCCATGTGGAACGAAAAAGGCAAATGAGTGACTTGTTTTTAAGACCCAGAGAGTAAGTCCTTGCTAGTGCTCACGAACTCTTGCTCAAACTCTAGGACCCTCTTAACCCAAATACTTAATTTTTTTTTTCTTACTACGTTTATTTATCTATTGGGTCGGGGGAGGCGACTAGTGCCTCAGCGCGTGTAGAAATCAGAAGCCAGCTTTGTGGAGCCTTTTTCTTCCTTCTAAGGTGGACACCGGGGTTTGAACTAAGGTTGTCGATTCCCAGGACAGTCGCCTTTACCTGCTGGAAGTCTCATCAGCACCAAAGTACCGAATTTTCAGTGAACAGAAATAAGCAGTGGAAAACAAAAACAAAAAAAAAACCTTTGGGATATTATTTATTTCTCTGCACATAACGACTGTTGTTATTAGAGTGATTATTGTTTTACTTCCCCTTGAAAAAATTAAAACCAAGCAAGCAGGGACTTGGAGGTGAGACTGAGCGTACATTTTAACAGACTGTTTTGAACAGTAGGTGCTAATGACAGCAGTAATTAAGGGCCCTTCGTAAATCAAGTGGAAAGATTGCAGATTTCATGCATTAGAACTATAGGGAAAGCAGCATTTCACAGTTTGTTGTGACCAAAACAAAAACAAGCAAAAAATAGCAAGCTAACCTTACTGCTGGGTCTATTTCTTCCTATTTCAATGGATTCACAGTAAGTACAACTGAAATGGAGTAGCAGCTTCAGAAAAGTCATCTCGAGATTCTCTTCGTTATCACAAACTATCTACCCAGACATTAGAGTATCTGACAAGCAGAAGATTCAAACACCCTTGGCTCAGACTTAACACCATCGCAGAGATATTTTTGCCAAAAAAGAAAGAAAGAAAGAAAGAAAGAAAGAAAGAAAGAAAGAAAGAAAGAAAGAAAGAAAGGAAAAGAAAGAAAGAAAAGAAAATTCAGGAATTGCTAGTACTTCTGGGATCAGAGGTCTGCATGAAAAGGCATTTTGTGTTATCTCAACAAATCAATGAATTTTGGAGGGGGGGGTGGAGTCAAAACACAGCCATGTTTTCTAAAGTACCCAGGAATGAAAGAACTTTGGACCTTATTATTGTGTGACAAATTTTTTTCCTGGGGAGATGCAACACCCATGCCTACTCATCCCAGATAGTGAACCCACCACAGACCAACATACAGACACCACCAAAGTCCAACTTGGTGAACCAATGAGTTTTATTGGGGTTACTTACAGGAGTATGGGTGAGGGGTGACTTACAGGAGCAGGAATGACGCAAAGACAGATGCATCACCAAAGCCCACCCAACACAGGTGACACAGCTCACAAAGCTGGGAACCTGGAGCACACTGCACAGCCTGCAGGCAGCTCAGCAGGTCGGACCATGTCCTTTGCAGGTGCCTCAGTTGGACTAAACCTCTTCCATGTAGCGAGGCTGCTTTCTGCTTCTTCAAGGCAGCTGGTCTGAACCCAATCTGCTTGGCTTGTCTGAGAGTCTTTTGTACATTGTCTCTTCCTCAAGTCTGAGGTGGACTCTCAGCTTTTATATCTTACTCTGTGGGGGGGGGGGCAGTGAATCTGGTCAGTTTCAGGGACTTCCTGAAGCCCTTTTGAGGTATTTATCTTCCTATCTAAGGAGCTTCCCCTCCAGGATGGAATGTTTCAATATCAGAGGAAACTGTTACACACTTATGCATTAGGCATGAGGTCTGATTTAAACTCTCGTCATTTCTTGGTTTTGCTGATTAGCAGAGATGCTATTTCTAACCTCATAATATCAGCGATCTGGAGCTTTAGTTTTCTTTCGTTAATCAGGTCTATACGATGAACTATATCTTTAACATCCACTAAATTATTTGGCTTTTTAAAAAGGGGAAGCAAATTATTACTTATCTTGGCGGAAAACCTGTAAGAGGTAAAACCTAGGGTCCAGAGGATCTCTTGTTAAAGTCAACCTTCCTTTTCTAAAGTCCATCTAATTAATACACAGTTCCTGGGTCAGAAATGCCCCCTCGGTGTCAGCCAGAAAACTAATCTGAGGGGCTTCCCCCTGGCTCAGCAGTGAAGAGCACTTACTGCTCCTGCAGAGGACCAAGGTGTGGTTCCCAACACCCTCCTGGCAGTTTACAACTAGGCTCTAGACTCAGTTGCAGAGGCTCTGGCGCCCTCCTCTGGCCTCTGCAGTCACCAGACACACATGCAGTGCACATATATGCAGGCAAAATAAAGATAAATAAATACAATATTCAAGGAAAATTAAACCAAGTGAGTCACATTCAAAAGAATCCATTTGCAGTCTAAAAACGTGTAGAAAGTGAAATTACAAGAAAAAGCGATGAGCACGTAGCCTTCTGGACATACTCACAAAGAAGTCCGTACCCCAGGCAGCTCACGGCTTCACCGCAGAGGGGAGGCTGTGATTCTGCATGCTGACCTCACACCTAAACCACTTACCCACCTCACCAAGTCAAGAAGGCAACTTGATTTACTCAGGCAAGAAACTGGAGGGTCTGAAGCATGAGGTCTGTGGTTTTGAGACACTGAAACGCATTCTACTTTTTCCTGTAACCCAGACTTTATTTTTTTTCCATGAAGAATATCTCATTCTGCAGAAACAAAAATAACAATAATTGTAGCATTATGGATTCCCATAAGTTAATTATCTCATTTATCATAAAAATGACACCGAAAGTACATGGAAATTTGCATCCCTCTCTTTGGGGGACCAGTATGTAGAGAAGTGTACTTTGTGACTATACCTAAGAGCTCCCCAAAGGCAAGTAGAACTACACTTGCATGGTTACAGCAAGTTTGGCCTGATTTTACTGTTTCACATGAGCCACATTCAAAAGAAGAACGGACAGCTCATAAAATCTCTCTCTCAGACACACAGAATTACCCACCTCTTCAAAGTGGTGGCAATGGTAGTCATAAGCAGAAGTCTTTGAGAACATCAACCTGGATTGCACTCTGTGCATACATGAGGTCAGAAACACCAACACAGTTGTGTCAGGGGGTCAGAAGATTCAGGAAGTGAGCAGGACTGGAGAATTGATCTTCTACTGTAGTGACCGCATCCAAAGCAGAAACCTTTGCCCTGGCTGTTTGTAGACTTTCTGATACACACCTGCAAGGCTGCCTAAATGTCTCCTTGGAAGTCTTAGAGAAAGCCAAGTTCTTCAGACATTGATTTTAGTCCTCTCTCATTACTGGGTTTTGAGAGTGTGAACACCTTTGTGTGTAGTGGGTAGCCATTCCAGCTTTGATCTGGAAGTTCCAACCCCCATTGAGACTTTGGCAACTGTCACGTCTACAAGGCGGGGCCAAGGGAGGCGCCTGGAGACCTGAGATCTGGATGGGCAGCACACTAACTCGGTTTCGGGACCTTGGACAGTGAAGGTGGGCCAAGCAGAGCTCCAGAGAACACCGCTGGACTGCGATAGACCTTCCCCAGACCCCGCGACCTGCCTATCCCTTAACTTGTAAGTTACGCCATTAAATAAATCTCCTTTTAACTACGTGGAGTGGCCTTAATAATTTCACCGATATTTGTGTTTTATTTGTGCATGCTATAGAGCGAATATTCAGGGACGTAGACTCACAAGCAATGCTTGATGGGATAGAAAAATAAAAAGTCATCTGAATTGCACTAGGTGCATACCTTTAATCCCAGTACTGGGGAGGCAGAGGAAGGTGGATCTTTGAGTTCGAGGCCAGCCTGGTCTACAGAGTGAGTTCCAGGATAGCCAGGGCTACATAGAGAAACTCTGTCTCAAGCGGGGAAAAAGGCCTCAGAGATGCTAGAGGAAGAATGAGGAAGCTGGGCAGACTGTGATGGTTAGGGGGTCCAGAAGGATACCTCAGTCAGTAAAGTGCTTGTCTTGCAAGCATGAAGAACTGAGTCTGAGCTCCAGCACCCACATAAATGCTGGGAGATGGGAGGCTCCTTCGTCCTGGCTGGCTAGCCAATCCAGATTTGAATCGCTAAGCTCCAGGCCAACGAGAGAGAGATCCTGTCTTGAAGCAAACAGCATCGTTTCTGAGGTTGACATTCAAGGTTGTCTTCTGGTCTCCACACATGTGTGGGGTGACTATAGTTGTATCCTCAAACTTTGCCGCTAGCTCTCTAAATACCAAGAAGAAAAGGGTGTGATGATTAAGGGCCTGCACAAGGTCGTCCTGCAGCTCTGGTCTTGAGACCTGGCTAGCATTTCCAAGAACTGAGTCACATTCTCTTTCTTTTAGTCAGTTCTGTCATCTGTCCACGTCCCTCTGAGAGGTCCCCGTGACCCACTGACAAGGAAGACAGCTTCATGCTCAGTTCATAGACCACTCTGCCTCTCCATTGTCAGTGCGTCGATAAAACTGACTTCATCGTTGTAGCCTACAACAGGACTTTGGTGCCTTAAGTACAGTAGGAACGCTGCTGCTCATATACAAATAAGCAAATACTTCTATGTCCTTCACGGAGTGCTGCATTCCTGAAGTCCTAGCTGTTTGGGTGGGAGCTCCACCTCAACCCCTGGCACCCTGACA